GATTTGATTTGCAATGTCGAACAGGCATATATAGGTCGCATAGCCATGATATTTTTTCTTTAATAGAAAGCCAACATTTATCAACGGATCCTTCTGTTGGTAGTGTCCAGTCCGTCGAATTTGCCGCAATTAATAACGCATCAAAGTCTGTTTTCCAAACATTTCTCTGGGGTAATCGCGGTGGAGTGCGATGATGTGGATGCCTAAGATATGTAAACAATGTCATATGATCACTAGTGCCCAGTGGTTCAGAAACTGATGAAGAATCCAATCTTTGCTCGGCTTGAGTAAATAGTAAATCTAGGCAGGAAGGAATCTGATAAGGCAGAGACCGCGTCGGTTGATGGACATGCTGTATCAATCCCATTTCTAGCACCGTATTGAGAAGTGTGGTTTCCAAGTCGGTACAACCAGGAACGGCCGTATAGCTGGACCAATTTACATGGGGAAAATTGAAGTCACCCATAAGTAGCACGTTTTGGGCGCATAGATTATTCTGAGCTCGTGTAATCCAGTCGGAAGAGATATTAGCTGGACTCCTGTAAAGCACTCCCACGTGAAAATTGCCTTTGGTGGTGATGATTTCGCACCAAATTTGTTCACAGTAACAATCATTACTCAGATAAGTGTTTTGTAACCGGCAACGTATGTCCGACTTCACATAGAGAAGCACCCCACCATGAAGCCGCTGCTGACGATCGCAACGAAAATGCTCATAGCCAGGGAGTTTTATCTCTTGATCGAGGACAGTCAAATCCAACCAGGTTTCTGCAACACCAAGAATGTCAGGATTTACATCAGAAACCCACTGCCGCAGATCATCTCGTTTCGGTAAAAGGCTGCGTACGTTCATAAAAGCTACACGCAAGCCAGCGAATGACTCTGGCTGCGCGCTGTTAAGGTGACCGGGCGGTTTATGAATGCACGCCATTTGACTATTCGAAAATTTACGATACGTAGATCATTTTCACCTTCAAGGGTGCGCCTTCGAAGTCCCACAACAGCGGCTTTGAGCTGAGCTCGCTGAGATGGATCCACATCTGATCTGATGTAAATATCTATACCTTTAAGTCCCCATGCGCGAGAAAGTAAGCGCTTGGGAGCGTCTGCATTTTCGAATACAATTTTTAGCGGTCGGTGGATGCCCGCAACTCGTTTTCCTAATCGTAAAATTCGTCGAACTCGAATTCCTGGTTCATCAGCATCGGCTAGTTTATCAACCTGGAGCAGTACCTGGAGCAGATTCAAATCATGGTTGTATCTAGCCTGTGCGCCTTCTTCGCCAGATTCTTTCGATCCAAACAGCATCAAACAATGATCGCGTGGAAACTCGAGTGTTTCTCGGTTTCCTGGAACAGTTGGCTGGATCGCGCTTGCGGAGCCGACAGGTAGGCTTTCAACGACCTCATGGTTACGAGCTGGCGGCCGGGTTTTCATACGATGTCTCCGTTTCTTTGATGACGTTGGCGTAAACGGCCTAATCGTGCAATCAGTGGCTCTCGTGCATCAAAGCTATCGCCTTCAATGCATAGCTACCGAATTTCTGAACAAACGGATCATGCCTTCGCCTGGTTGTATGTTCCACTTTCCCGTCTTCCGGTGATCGAAACTGCAGCAGCTGGAACTAATGCGCCTATGGCACATAGTTTATAGCTGATAAATTGAATTGAATTCCATTGATGGTCGCCTGTCTACGTTTTTTCGGTTTCCCTGACGTGCTGGTAGAGGGTACATCATAGTATCGTTTTCAGAAGCTTATATTCAAGCGGTTTCTCGGGGATAGAAGTACAGTCTGACTGCCACTCATGCGTAGAATTGAAATTGCCTGGGATGAGGTAATTTATGTAACGCCAAGTTTTTAGGTTGGTCTATCACCAAGTTTCAGGAAGAATTTGGGATTCTGTATATTAAGCAGATGAGTACATAGCTTCTGATGTTTTAAGCGACAGAAAGTATGGCCCTCCGTACCGTTTTCTTCCATCGAAGTTATAAATGCCGTATGAAGAGTAGTTTGAGCGTACGTTCTTCTCGATTCTGTCCTTTCAGCACTTCAAAATTAAGCATGTTCCGCAGGTCTTTGTCATGCACATTTTATCTAGCACGGTCTCTGACTCAAGTAGTTCAACATCGTCTGTCTTGTTACAAGTGCTTCTTTAGGCTCTCTGGTAGCGTTAAGAGGCATCTACGACCATCTAGTGGGCTGTCGTTAATAAAGCCGATTTCACCTTGTTCTCGGACACCCATGTGATGCCGGGAAATACTTAGTGTATAGCCCAGTATCAACTTCCTTCTTCCGTCGACTTCAGCGCCCTAGCTGGGACCCGGTCCTCAGGGGTTAAGTTACAAGAAACGTTGAACTTTTCGTCTCATATGTGATGAAGCCCTAGCGAAATATGCGCCCAGTGTCTGCTGCTAACCTCAGTGCTGCCTTAAAATGTCGGGCTTTCCCCTTCCTACCCACAGTGCATTCGGAACCGACATACCCTCTTCTCCATTGTTAACGAACTTAGCTATGACAAACTAGAGGAAATCGTCCTTCCTGTATTCGTTCCGCTGGGTTTTTGACCTTGCGTTCGGAGGCTTTTGTGATAATGGTGAACCTTTCTCGAGGTCACGCTTCGTTCAGCTGTAGCACCCTTTCGGTCCATAATTGCCGTGCTACCACGAGGAAGCACGAGGGTTGCGATACTGCCAGGTTGCCCAAGCCTAGATAGGGGAAGTCGAGAGGCAGAGGTCGGGTTCGAACCACGAACCCTCCTGTCAGTAAATTCGTGCTCCAACCACTGAGCAGTCATCAAACTTGTGATTTCCTTACTCTTTTCTCTTAGAGGGGTCGTTGCTGTGTTCGCTGAGTTGGGTAATTTGATCGCAAACGTTGATCACATAATCAATGCGTTTTTACGGTACCAGCATTCTCGTCAATAGCAGGTCGCCGATATTTTGATCCCTAAAGGCTACTTTATTATCCTCATGCAGCGTTCCGCACTTTTCTCTAACGAACCGTCAATACAGGTTCCAGTGTTTGGCTGTTCTTCTGGAGCACTCTGTGGCCTTTCATTGAAAAATTTTACCCACAAATAGGACATTTTCCATCGATGGGATATTCGGAATGTGGCTTGTCTGGTTGCCGGTACCCATATTTCCAGTTTTTATACGCTTCCCTGGTGTCGACTCGAAATCTGGGTCATGTTTAATGGAGGTGTTCCTGACTGTCATTTGACCTGATGACCCATTTGAACTTATTTTGTCACTGCGTTTCTTAACAATAGAGGGTGTTTGCATCGGAAGGTCGATTGGGGAATGTACCAAATCGGCCTTCCACAACCATCCTACACAAACGTGACCCTGTTTGGGGTTGTGGAATTATTTCATTGCATGACTATGTGCGATTCAAAGAGGGCTGAAATGTTGCTGTAACTCCCAAACCTACAGTGGAACAACAGAAGAGCCAAAAATAGGTTCACGCCACTGGACTTACGGTCAGAAGTTGGTTGCTTTGGCCGCTGGTGTACCTCGAGCTCAATGACTAAATAGTCTAAGACGCTCGACTGCGAATGGCCAGCCTAGTCTGAGGGCGGATGGAGTAGTGCATAGTTGTCTCCATCGTGATGTTGCTGCGCACAGCGGATGCTTTTGGGGCGGCACCTTGCTCTTGGTAGGGTTTGACCTTAATGGATTATCCGCCGGCGGTCACGTTGAGCATCCGGGCCATCAGAGTGAAATTTTCCTCGGATGAGGGCAGAATCGCTGACCCCATAAATCTGGAATGATGGCTGCCTGGTGGGAAAACCTACTGCCTTCATACTCCTACCGTAGGAGACGGACCACCTCGTGATATGATTACTCGTATTGTGGCAAAAGTTCCAGCTGTCTCAGATTTGTTCAACTCTGTCTTCGATGAAATAATGGTGCAAACGCGGGAGGATCTTCAAAACTCCGATGTTCAAATCGGTGCTAGTGAAAAACTTGTCAGTGTTCAATACATAGACGACATCTTCCTAATCTTGAAGATGAAAGTCACTGTCGAATGAACTATAATAATAACGTTCAACTGTAACACCCCTTCAGTGTCTAGCTGCTGTACCATCCGAAGGAAGCACGAGGGCTGCAATACTCTCAGGTTGTTCAAACCTACACTAGTTGAGTAAACTGACCACCATCGTACCGTCTTCCGGCATGCGCCTGGAACCTACAAAGCGCAAATTCGTGCTTCATAAAGTACCCTTTCTGAACATGTCTCTTCAAATTCAAGGGAAGCACTGGAGATTGTGGAGGATTTTCCATACCTCGGTGTTGGCATAACGCTGATGAAGTGCATGAGTCTCAAAAGCCTCAATCATTTTTGCCCATTCGCTTCACTTGTGGCGTCAAAAATGTATAAAGCCGGATTTAGGATCACATGTATCAGTCTACAGTAAGGTCTGTTGTCGTATGGTCGCAGGACAGCCTGTGAAGACTTATAATATAATGTGTCTCTGGGTTTTTCACCATCGATGTCTCAGAAGTGTTGCTCTTATTGGATGACGTTGAAGAATTCGTAACAATGTAGTTCGAGGCCGAGTGTCTGGTTGTGCAGCAGCTTCATCGGTCGCTTAAAACTTTTAGCTTACGTCGTGGCTTGTTTACTTCGAATACTCGTTCAACGACGCTGTGTTGTTCTCCGTACCTCCTTCAGAATGGCTCAAACTACGAGGTGGACAACGTGTGACTTGTTTGAAGGATATAAAAGAGAGTATGAGGAGTTTTGGTATTGTTGATGCGGTCTGTCTTTCAGGATGGAATCCCAATGACCCTACCGACGCTTGGCCGGAATTACTGTAAGAAATGGTGACTAATCGATGTCAGTATTGTTCGTACTGATAGTTTCCAGATTACCTGATAGAGCGTCTGAGGGCGTAGTCACCTCAGAATGTCGCTCATCTGCTCTTCCTTTTCACTTAGGGAATTTAAATATAGCGCGGCGGTGAAGCATCACTATCGACATTGGTTTCGCTGGCTCTGATGGTGTTGTTGATAATGATCATGATACCGATGAAAACATAGACCTTGTACCAGCCTAATTATTTGACAGATCTCAGCAAAGGTTTCTCATTAGGCATTGCTCGGTCCATATCTCATCAGTAAGTGGCTTTTGTATCGACTTCTTATTCCTTATCCGCTCCATTTTTTCCCCATAGATACCCACAATCGTTCAGCTGTAGCACCCTTTCGGTGCCAGCTTACATGCCACCCGAAGGTTGCACGAGGGCTGGGATACTGCCAAGTTGTCCAAGCCTAGACAGGGGAAGTTCGGAGGCAGAGGTCGGGTTCGAACCACGGACCTTCCGATCAGTAAATTCGCGCTCTAACCACTTGGGCCATCTCGCCCCACAATACCGTTGTAACAATCTTGGCAGCCTTAGTCGGCCGACTAACTCCGCTTTTCAGTTTCTGTCCTCATCCAATGAATAAATTTAGGGAACGCACGTCAAAGTGCCTTGATGTGTTGGGACTTCGTTCCTTTCTTAGCATTGTTCTTTCCTCCAAATTAGGGATTTCAAATAGAACGTGATTCCATGGTACTAGCCAGCTGATGTCCAGCGTTTATTTCTGTTGTGTCTGTGGACCAGGTCCTGAAAGTTTAGCCAAACTTTCAATCATATTGCTGCCCCGGCCATTTTGCCTCAGACCCTTTCATATTTCGATGCACGCTTATCAGACTTCTCAGTTTTTCCCACCGAAAAATGATGACTTGGTCCCATTTTCTCTCTATCGGCTTTTCATTTCAGCTGTCTCATCGTCTTGCCCCTACTTTTTAGTGACGGCGTACGCATTTTTAGATAATGTACTGTAGTAATGGCATTTTATCTTTGTGTGGGTTTCTGGAGGCCCCGGGGGCACGTTCGGATGACATTCCCTTATCGTCTGCGCCGTTGAATTTGTTTCGAATGCATCCATCTATCCCCGAATATGATAGTGTCCTTCACAGGAGCTTCGAAACCGGTGAAGCATGTTTATCTGAGGACTACGGTGTCGTCACCTATGACCTCAATCTGCGCTCACGTGCACCCGAATCGCGGATCAAGGTGTGTTGTTTTGTTTTGTTTATAATTTTTATCTCAGGACCCTGCAGTTATTCATGATGTCTCTATCCATCTTAACGAACTGCACCGTCGCGTTAAAGATCGGTTTTCCCTCATGCACGTGAACGTATGTTCTAGCGGGTCCTCGGATGACATTGAAAATTACAAAAACGCCTACGAAAAATTATTATCTTTTCCAAACTCAGTTCTTCAAGAACTCGGGCTTCACAGCTGTGATAAATCCACATTTTCGCTCGCTAATCTGGAAACGGAGACAAGGTTATTGATGGAAAAGCGACTCAAACATCAAGAACCTATGCGAAAATATGCCGTTTTGGTAAGTAATCACTTGTTTACCGGTTGATTTCAAATGTTCACTGAGCACGGTGTATCCTCTCTAGAGCGGTCGTCACAAAGAGGCGACATTACCTTGGTGTGACGTCTTGCGCACCTCAGCAACTCATCGAGCTATACTGGGGGCTGTCCTCGTGACATTCAGAGTCCATCATACCAGGTTGGTCAGTAGTTAGAAGTCTGGCAATCATAGTCTCCTGGTCCTCTAGGCTGGGGGTGTTGGAATATGCGGCAATTTGTTCCGTAGAAATGGAAATGCACTTGCGTTTTCTTCCAAACACCACTGCCTTGCGGTTAGGCTTTTGAGCCAAAAGCTTTGGTTGAGGACCCTAATCGTCTTTCTGTCTAGGTGTGGGCACCCTGACAGTATCCCAGCCCGCGTACAACCATGATATAGGGCAGCGAAGCATCGGTGTTGAACGCTGGTGTCATGCTATCGATGATGACGATGATGTCTAGAGCGAACACCATTGGGAAGAATCCCTACATGAAAGGATAGTTTTCCTTGACTTTAGAATTCTCCTACCTACAGAGCTATTCACGTACCGTTGAATTGTTTGATCAAGCCACCAGCTAGTTGGAACAAGACGTACTGTCAAGACTCGTTTTATTTGGTTGTAGGGAATGGTTGGTTTAATAACGACCTGTTTATCCTGGCCATGTGCTCCACGTTGTTCAGGAATGTCGCGTTCCTGGAAATAAACGTAGTGAGGGATTCACCGAATTCCCTTAGCCCTCATTTTTGACCTTTGACTGATCTGCTATTCCTCTACGGTTCCGTGGGTCGGATAAAACTGGCCAAATTCATTTCAGTAAGACAGACTTATTTCGGCGGTACATCACGCTCTAGCATTTATGTGCTTTTCTATAGAGGAAAGGATAGTTTTCCTTGACTTTAGAATTCTCCTACCTACAGAGCTATTCACGTACCGTTGAATTGTTTGATCAAGCCACCAGCTAGTTGGAACAAGACGTACTGTCAAGACTCGTTTTATTTGGTTGTAGGGAATGGTTGGTTTAATAACGACCTGTTTATCCTGGCCATGTGCTCCACGTTGTTCAGGAATGTCGCGTTCCTGGAAATAAACGTAGTGAGGGATTCACCGAATTCCCTTAGCCCTCATTTTTGACCTTTGACTGATCTGCTATTCCTCTACGGTTCCGTGGGTCGGATAAAACTGGCCAAATTCATTTCAGTAAGACAGACTTATTTCAGCGGTACATCACGCTCTAGCATTTATGTGCTTTCCTCTTTAATTTTCTCCAAAAGCACGTTGTGGTGAAGCAGAACCAAATAAACTCAAAATCACTAATTGTTCGAATGGTTTGCTTGAAAAATATGCCTTAATTGTGAATAGGGTGATTAGTTCCAATCAGAAGTCACTTTTTAATGGTCGGTCCATACTTACTAAGACAAATAGGCTTCACGGGTTTAATCCATTCAAAAGTGGAAATAGCCCCTCCCCATACAACATAGTCTTCCTACTAAGAGCAAGTTTGTTTTCACTACGCAAGTCTTTCGTCGTGCAAAAATCGGTAAAATTCATGGTTTCTTTTCGGTTACTTCGCGTAAAACATGCTATCTGACTGCAACTAAATAAACTCAGGTTTGGTTGCGGTCCTTTCGGTATTGCGTTTACACTGGCTTAGACCCGTATTATTTGGATTGCAATTTCCCCCCAGAGCCTAGAATATTTCAAATTCCACATGACATTTACCTTAGAAATCCTTTCAGAATGTCATCAGAACGCACATCAAGCTTTTCCCCTGAGAGAGCTTAATGGTTGGGACGTAGAAGGACCAAAAGGCCCGTGGTTGGAACTCAATACATACTTCTTGAGTGCCTCTATCTGTGCTTGAGTATCCTGGAAGTATCTCTATCCTCGGGCTATCTTTGGGTTGTACATAAGCTGCGCACAGAAAGAGTGCCACAGCTGAACAATTTTCTCAAGTTTCAAGTTTTCACCTACGCCGAGCCACCTAACCTCTCACCAAGTCAACCCCATTCTGTTTCTATTTGGGAAGCACAATAATCTGTATAGTCGGACGGAAGTTCACTAGGGCTGGGCCACGAAAATGGGACTCAATGAGGCACATCTCACGAATCTGAACCAGTCTTCTGGAATTGGTGTCCACGGGAATGAATATGCTTCACAACTGAAACGACTGCTTTAACAATGGAGGAGATACCTTTTTTTGGGGGTTGTTTTTGATATGGAATGCTTTCTGCTGAAAATGCTATGGACACTTTCTTCGGTATCTTGGCTTAAGGTAGCTCCATTTTACTTTGACTAAGTTATTGTCATTCTTAATACCTTCATCACAGCAGTGGTTACCGCGGTAAAATAGCTTGTATGTATTTCACTGCTAATATGTAGTACAAGAAGAATGATTGGTTCAGACTCTGATGCCAATGGCAGAAGACCAGGTAAAACAGCCTTTGGGATAATAACCCAGCCACCTGGACCATAGTCTGATGACTGGTGCTCCGGACAATCCACTTGTGAACTTATATATGCAATACGGATAACTGTCAGAATGTGGTCTACATGGTCGGGTGAGATATCTTGTACACACATGACCCTTGTAGCCCGAGCTGTGTTGCCCACCGTGTTGGGCGTTTTTAACAACCTGGTTATTATCCAATATGCTTCTGCGCTTGCACATTATTTTGCCGCTCATGACAGCAAACTACATTGCTCTCGGATTCTGATCGTTGTCTCTTAGGAAGATACCTCCCAACAACTCCCAAGCTTTTCCAAACTGGTTAAGGATCCAGCCTATACTTGGCCATTCGAGCTGGACACGTTTCAGAAACAGGCGATTCTTTGTCTAGAGCGGAACCAATCCGTGTTTGTGGCTGCACACACGTCAGCTGGTAAGACAGTGGTGGCGGAGTATGCTTGTGCAATGTGCCGTCGTCGTGGTTCTCGTGTGATCTATACCAGTCCAATCAAAGCTCTGTCAAACCAGAAATTTCATGATTTTAGGTGAGCCTTGGTTTTTATAAAGTGATTTTGAGAGAGGTATTTGTTTAATGTTTATGGGTCGTTGGTGATATTCACTCCTGTTTTTTGAAGTCATTCTTGGTTCTCCTTTTGATCGGCAAACCGTATGTTACTAGATTATGCCCCAAATGGAATTGAGTTTAATAACTCGGTATTTGGTTGATCTTCCATATTCTACAATGCAGATAAAGTCGCAGTAAAACTTTCAAGATAAGCTAACCTATCAATAAACTAAAGTTCCTCAGTGTGAACATCGAAGTGGATACGTGGGTGTGGGAAATCCTGCAGTAGAACTTTGAAGTGCATGGCACATGCCGATGTTCTGTTTAGGGTTCTTTGTGCGGATGCATGACCGTCCGTTAACAGAACTATTTCATCCGCGTATCCCGAGTCTACCAATTCTTCTGCAAAGGTGATTTCGGCATCCATTTTGTTGCCTGTTGAGTTTACACAACGGGATGTTGTCAGCTACAAGATTAGACAAAAATGGCGAAAGCCTTGGGAAACTTTGTCAAAGGTCTTTATGAAGCCCAATGTCCCTGGAAGTACAGGTATAAATGGTACAGTAAATTTTCACGAATTTTGAGGGTATTCCTCGTTGACCAAGTATTAGTGGGAAAGCTAACCTATTTACAGAATCGATGTTTTTTTCTGAATCCCAAGAAAACCGCTAAGTTGGTTGGCGGTGTGAGTGATGCTGCTCAAGCACTTGCGTGCTATGGAGATGTGGTCAATGCAACCGCATCTACTCTAAAGCATATCCAACGCTCTCGGAATTCCGTCTCGAGTGATTAGGTCAGACGTCGCTGTGCTGTTGAAGGTAGCTCCGTTACAAGTGGGCTAAAACTTATTATTGTTATCACCTTTTTTTGAATGAAGGTACAACGTTTGAGGCCCCCGGTTCGCCAGAATGCGTCCTTCCTCCCGAGTTAGCCTAAGTACCCTAGTCATGGTTAGAAATTCGCTTCGTTACTTTAGAAACTAGGAGAGGATTTGAACTCAGTCTGCGACTGGGGTTGAGCGAGTTTGTTGAAAGAAATGGCTACATTGTCAGATTGCCAACTTGACTTCTGTCGGAAATATGCGACCCCGCGGTCAAGACGGTTGTTCTTTTTGAAAAATAAGTTTCTGATTTTATCCTTGATGACGTCACTGGTAACCGTATCAAATGAAGCACCTTGAGAGATGAGCTCTTGTTCTCAGTAACGACAGGTGCAGGCTCTGAATTAATTTGACCTTCTTGTCAATACATGGCTAATCCTAGTGGAGCCTCCGGATTGTCTCACGTACAAACGTGGCTTTTCTTCCCTACCGGTATTGAACAGCTGCTCTTCCTGTATTTTTTTTCCGGTGCATCACCAGTTCAGTCACTACCGTGAGCATGGGGATTGCTTTCACTATCGTGGCCTTATTCAATCTAATGTATTTGCTTACATCTGCCACCTAGGCGTACCTTTGGGGAGAATGTTGGCCTTCTGACTGGTGATATCAAAGTGGCTACAGAATCTACCTTCCTGGTAATGACAACAGAGATTCTCTACAATATGTTGTGCAACGCAGCGGATGCAATTCGTGATCTGGAGGTTGTGATTATGGATGAGGTATGTTGATCTCTAACGTCAGATTTTGTCGGCCAATAGGTATGGCACTTTTGCATTCTCTAGAATTCTAACTATGGACTTCATGTTGTACATCTGAACCAACCGGTTCTGAAAACTCAGCTAGCACCATCTCTTTTCTGCTGATTCGTAGCTTTCGTATTCCGGCACCTGAGACGTTTCGGGTAGGAGTTAAGCACTTTGTCTTCTAAGCCCGAGTGACCTACCAGCAATGTGATTGACTCGAACTTACACAGGGTTTAATTGCATTTCGAAGTATATTCCCACGCGGCTTGGCGTTACGAAGAACTCGCGTGTCCAGGTTCACTGAGTGTTTTTACTGCCGTCGTTGTTGGTTTTTGCCCGGCCTGGATTAGCCATTTCGTGGTATGACTGTGCAGCTCTTGGTTCGACTTTGTCTTCAAACTCTGTGTTAGTTGTCTTTTAAACACTATTCAACTTTTTTGGGGCAATTCACCATTAGACGCCTTGGAGCTGGCAATACTCTGCGCTCAAACTGCAGTGTACACTTTCCACCAAATTAGCGCATATAAGACCTTACGATTGGTGTGTATGTCAATGTGGAGACAACGGTCCTGGGGAGATTGGAACATGTATCTGGTAGTTTACCCTACTTGAATACTTCCTTGAAAGCTTTGTCATGCCGGACAGGTAGTCGATCTAACCAAGGTTGCTGAGGTTCCCCACCTTGTCGCATAACTGCACGTCAGCATTTTAGATCATTTTCCGTTGAATTACGTAACAGATGCGGTTTTGCATACAATGCATGGATCTGTTCTACTGGGTGTGAAAACTACATGCACTGATGTGCAGATAAGCCCTCTTGAAGTTAACGGGATAACCAGCTGGTGTTTTCTTATACTGCTCGACCGAATTCACCGAACAGAAGCCTCTTTTCATTTCATTTGTAGCGATATTCAAGAATTTGAAGTATTTTCTATACATACCTACTTGGTGAATTTTCGAAAGCCTCCGACACATTGGCTGATCTTTTGGACATTGCCGTATGGTAGGCTTGGATGTCTTGATGAATTATTCAACTCCGCTGCCGATCTGAGTTGGTGCGCTTTGAGTGTCACAGCTGAAGAACAGTCATCCCAAACGTTGCTCTTCTGAGGTCTTATGCTGTCACATTCTCTTTCAATGAAGCAAGCTGTATATTTTAGCTCACCACTCTAGTACATTCACTTCAGCAGCTATTCGCGAACACCTTCACAGAGAATAGAGTGAGGCGGCTTTGTTACCTAATAAGGTGGGCGTCTGCTTTTTGCTGTACGCTGTATCGTATCGGTATCTGATTGCTGAGAACAATCCAGTCGAGATAAGAAAGCCAGTAAACAGAGAAGCCGTCGGGCTAATTAATCAAACCGAAGGAACTAAGACCACAACGCAATACCAGTCACAAACGGACCAGTGAACTCACGAGAATAATGTCTCCCAACTTGCTTGCCACCTCAAGAGATAACAGGTACTTATCCAACGCATGCAAGTAACTTGAAAGTACCCACCCAACAGCACATTGAAAATATGCCCTCGTTTAGTGACGAAACATCCGCAGGTTTATTGCCCAGGTCGGAGAGCAGATCAAAAGCCACCTGATCAACAGCCAGTAAACCTACGCGCTCTACAAGTGGTTGAACACCTTGCTACCTAGATGTTTGAGCAGTCTCCATTCTATTCTGAAGGGATTATTCTCCTTAATTCACACCAAAACAAAGAAACACTGAACTCGAGTTTTGTTCTTATCACGGCTCATCAGCCGCACACTAATTTGAATTCTAATCGTGAAATATGAGGTTAGCGTCCCACCGTTTCTCTCTCGTCGGGTGCATATTTCTCATGTTTCAACATGCAGGCATGTTCGTTATCAAAGGTTGATCATATGTTAATAGTTATCCGTTCTATGGTAATAGTGAAGTCTACGTTCTCGGTGGAAGATGTTCTATGGCGTCCGAGCGCACACTGTCGCCCACCGCATAAATGTATGTGTACTTGGTTGTAGTTCTCTTCTTGGCGTGTAGACAAATGCTATTGTTCGAATTGATAGAGTTTGTTTTCCAAAGCAGGTGCGCCAGATCTCCATACTGCGGGTTTTCCCATGTACGGGTTATCTGTATGATTATCTGTTTGTGTCATTAATGCCCAGCACTTGAATTCTGGTTTGTGGCCGTATGTTTAAGAACTCGGCAAGGTCAGAACGGTTTCTGTTTTTATTGTTGTCCGCCGAAGTTGTTTATCTTACGGAAGCCTCAAATGTATTCATTTTACTGAAATCTTTTTTCCCAGGTTCACTACCTTAATGACGCAGAACGCGGCCATGTTTGGGAGCAAATAATGATAATGCTACCTAAGCATGTGCTGTTAGTAATGCTGAGTGCGACTGTTCCGAATACCATGGAGTTTGCTGATTGGCTCGGACGGATTCGTGGAAGTGAAATCCATGTAGTTGCGACCAATCGTCGGCCGGTCCCGTTGGAACATTATCTATTCACCGGGTTGGATGGACAAAGCCCCGAGAAGCAGCTGCATTTAGTGGTTGACAAACATAGTCAGTTCAACCTCCCCGGTAAGTCTATTCATCTGGCGTCATTTTGCTTTTCTCCATAATTGAGCTTGAATACTGTAATCTCAACACAAATGAACCGCGGCACGTATTGCCACATAGGATATTTGGAAATCCTATGGGATAACCGGTGTCGTTTCAGGTGTAGGCTCGGTGGGTCCTGTTTCATCTGTCATTCTTGTCACATCCTCTGTTTTCGTGTTCGCGTCTACTTCGGCGAAAATTTCGCTCACATTCTAATATTTTCTCCTATTATGACCAACTTAGTTGTCCATGTTAGCTGTCGAAGCCTGTGAACCTGTTTTTCCTGTCTCGCTCTTACACTCAGGTTACAAGCAAGCCATAGTCGCCTTCAACGCACCAAAACTTAAGAAAGCGAACAGTGAGAAATCAGGTGGGGACACCAGTCGAGCTGAAGAACTGGCAGCACGTCGAGGTGGCGCTGTCGTTCCTGGTGGAGGTGGTCGGGGTGGAAAGGGTGGTGCGGGAGCATCTAAACAACATTACACAGGTGGCAAGGCCAACACGCCCGGACGCTGGAATTACACACCTTGTACGTTGTGTTCTTGCCTGTCAGCTGTTGTATGAACACCACAATCATACATCTTTGTTTGCCTTTGTTCCATCATCCTATGAGAGGTGCTGTTTCTGATCTACGGACGAGAGACTCCTATCATAATTTTCCAACCTGAATTCGGTTGTTCATACCTAATCAACCTCTTCGATGGAATTAACTAAATGGGAAAACAGAAACAGGTTATTTCCAGTTTAAGCCTGCGTCGTCTTCATTCTCTGTAGTGTTAACAGCAGTGGGACACAATTTCATGTATTTAAAAAGCAAATAAATGGAACTGAATCCAAATAGTAAACGGAAGCGAGGTTCAAATGCTGGTACCACAACATACCAAATGGAATTTCAGCCACTCACCTCGGAATTTTGCGGTCATCGCTTCTGTCACTACTTCGCCCTAATAACTCATTCTAAAAATTTACCGGCCTGAATAGTTTTCATCTGAAGCGTACACTTTCTATACGTTCCGCTCTACATATACCGTACCATAGCTATATTGCAATTTCGAAAGGAAACAGGAAAATTTGGTCACAGCTCGAATCAGCAACCACAGGATAGTTGTTTACTTCTCGTGAAATACAGCCTTACGGGCGTCGATTCGTAGCACGGAAAGTTGTTGCTGGTAGTTGTGCAAAAGTGGCACGCAAATGTGGACTACCAGTCTATCTTTGGACCATATTCGGTGTCATAGTATTCATTGTCAATTATATTGAACAGTGGCAGGTGTTTTTTGGCATCACACCTTGTTCTTCTCACCTGTTAACCGACTTCAGTTGATTTTGCTGATTAACGTTAGTATACCAACAGTCTTTACTCCTTTTTAGCTATAGTAAGCATCAAGACTACTCTGTATTTGCATCCCACATTCATTCATAAATGTGGAGGGTGAAAATGAGTCAAGTGGCAGTTTTTGTTTTTGAAAATTTGAAGTTGTTTCCACTCTCCCAATACCGACTATCACTGTTCCACTAATTTCGATCATGATGCAGCTATCTTGGAGAAGGTACGTCGCTGCTCGAACAACATGCTTGGTACCGTGCTTTACACGTCAGCCAAATGTATTTTTGGATGAGACTGGGATGCAAGTGACAAATTCGTGAACAGCTTTAAGACAAATGGACCTGGATTTGATTTCTGCAGTACACAGTTCGGCCCTTTTTGCTTTTTGTACTGGGTTTGTGATACTGGTTGCATGGCCATGGAGCACCGGTGTTGGTCGTATTCCAACATGTTCCCAAAACTGATTACTACATTCATTGCCCCCCTCCCGACTATTTTCACTAAGTATGTTGATGGCCTTACTAATGAAACACATTATTCTATCGCGTGCATTCCAGCTCCCGGAGGTTTAGCTGTCCATGAGAAACGGATAAAAAACATGTGGCTTGGTGTTGTACGTCTCTTACAAGAACGTGAACTCATGCCAGCCATCGCCTTTGGATTCTCTCGAAACTCTTTGGAAACTTTAGCAGAGAACTTGTCCTCTGTCGATTTACTGAGCAAGGGTACGTTCCGAGTTTTCGCAGTTCTGACGCTTGCATAGTATTCCCCCTTCCCTTAGTAAGTAATCTGCAATGTATAATCTGTTTCCGCATGCTTCTGAGAAGGAAATTTCTAACGCATTCTCAGATTCGGTCCTGTCTCATCGGTTCCACGGATGTCATCTGTTTGACAATCATAATCACTCACTCGTCTTTTGATTCGTTCCTCGTGCTGTCATCATGGTGTTAATTTTTTGCTCTTAGGTTCCTAGGTCCCTAGTTCCACCTGAGCACAAAGTGACAGACTATAGGTTCGGCTTTTTCGTGTGCACACTTTGTACATAGCATAGAATCAGCCCCTAGCATGCTGCTCCTTGTCACTTCAGACGAGAAAAATGAAGTTCAACAATTCTTGCGTTATTCGATCAAAAACCGTCTCAAGGGACCCGATAAACGCCTGCCGTCGGTGCTGTTCATCAGTGACTTGGCTTGCCGTGGACTGGCTGTCCATCATGCCGGAATGTTGCCACTGCTGAAAGAGGTTTGTACTTTCCGCTTAAAGATGCTCTCATAGCAATACTATCTACGGCTGCCTTGTGTGTGCTACTTCTGAGCAACCGGTTTTTAAGAAAACTGGACCTCCAGGGATTTTTGAATGAACAGAAATTGATAGCTACTTGTATCGCTTCACTAAGGAAGTAAATTTCACGATCCGTCGGATGGTTCGTTGCAGCGAGACTTTCTCTGGATAGAACGATTGACAGCAACTTTAGATGGTTTATTCGTATAGTAGGGAACTATCAGCGACTCAGGCATTGGAGTGATTCGTGCGCAGCGGAAGAGAGACCGGAAATACGACTCTGAGAAGAGATGTTTAAAAGCATTGAGATTTTCGCCGATCTTTTGATGCATTTTAAGCTTTTCTCGATTCTTTTCCGTCTTGTGTTGAACCACATCACACTGGGTTATTGGTGATATGCCGTCTTGATTATGTATACTTTTCACATTGCGATACTTGCTGCGCTACGGACCCATGTTTTTTTACTGACTGGATCCGTTTGTTTAGTTCCTCTGAATCGATACAATGGGATAATCTTTGAACCTCCTTTTTTTAACTGACTGTAGTCGTCCATACCCTCTCCAAATTTAGCTGAAAGACTCTGCCTGTTATCCCTGAATCCATCGAATTCAGACTCACCAGTCCTGTTGTGTCCCTCGTTTCGTTGTTTTGCAGACAGTGGAGATGTTGTTCCAACGTGGCCTTATCCGTCTCCTATTTGCCACAGAAACATTTGCCATGGGCGTGAACATGCCAGCACGGTGCGTTCTTTTCAGCACACTGGAGAAGTATGATGGTCGTCGCCGTCGCCCACTCAATCCTGGTAAGTGTTCACTGCAGTTCCCTGTGTGATAAGTCTGTTTCATGTGCCCATCCAGGCTCTCACACCGTTTAAGTTTTGGAATCCTAACGCATGAAAGCATGCCTTCCCTTTTTACTGTTCACTGTTGCTCAAGAAATATCGCAATAAACTAAATTTGGGTTTTCTGAAAAACCATCTGGTTAGTTTTTTGAAGCAGTTGTAGCATGATTTTGAGGATAAAGCTGTGAGTGCAACTCGGTCTATAGCCGAATGCCTCATGATATGTCCAAATGTTACAATTTCATACTGGTATCTTTCTTGCTTGGTTTCAGAACTGTTTGCTCTGTGAGAATACGCCAGCGAGGTTAATTCATTTTCTTTTCCAACTGGATCTAGTCCTTTCGACATGTCTTTTTGTGAAAAAGTACCCCGCGCATATCAGTGAGTATCAACAAGTTGATAGCGTTTCTTGCCTTTCACAGGAGAATACACCCAAATGGCAGGTCGTGCAGGGCGTCGGGGTCTGGACGCGTCAGGGACGGTAATTATTATGGTGGAAGGAGTCGGAGCATCCGTAGCCTCACCAAAATTGGGCGTTCCAGCTGAAGCAACTCTGACCAGCATGATATTGGGCACGCCTACGCAGTTGGCGTCTCAATTTAAAATCACTTACTCAATGATATTGCATCTGCATCGGACCAATTGGCTGTCACCGCAGGTGTGTTTAAACTTTGATATTTATACCACCAATGTGCCTATTGGTCTGTATGGAGCCAATCAGGCCTGCGCTTTACGCGATTTTCAGTTTTACACGAAAACCACCGCCAGCCCACCTTTAATTCCATTTTAGGATTTACTATTTGATTGTCCTCAAGTGAATTAACTGTACTTTTCTATTTACTACATATAGTAATGCCTTTAGAATCGCCATGCTTCTCCCCTTTACCAGTCGTATTCCCTTGGGACAGTTGCTGGGTCGTCGTTCGATGAGTCGGGCACACCAATCACATCGCCCAAGTGTGAACACGTTCGCCTGTTCAGACGTGATAATTCAGATGCGTCCAACGTGCGTTGGTGGAGTAGCGGTTACACGCTCGCCTCGCATGTCAGATATCCGGGGTTCAGATCCCGGCACGGCCATTGGATATGCACTGCTGATGAGCTCTAATAAGAGCGAAACTCGAGTCCAGTGCTTTCCTTTTGTGTGGACTCACCGGAATAATTACGCCAGAACAGAAACACGGCCGTTCAAATGAGAGTGGTTTGGCTATGGACAAAATTATCCATCCCGCAAAACCCCAAGATTACTGAGTCCTACAGCTAGTTCCAAACACGGCTCAGTTCGAATCACGTATGAGACTAGGTCTCCCTCGCATAAGTCTAGGGCGTAGTTTGGTGTGAGCGGCGGATCCAGGAGCGGATGCTAGTCCAGTGTTCACCAAGTCCTTTCCACAAACTTACGATTTAATCAACTGTTCTTGTTAGTTCTCCTGAAGGACCCCGCGTCCCCTCATACACTTGGATAGTAAGAGAGCAACGCTGAATGCGGCCATAGTAAATCTGTTGGCACCTTAACTTGACGGTACAGCTGTGTACATCAGAGGCACTTTCTGGCAGGATGCTTCGATTGGACGCGAAACGTATTGATAGTGGAGAGTGTTTTTTGTACCTTCGTACAAACCGCCACCTGTATGGCACTAGGACAATGATCGCCGTTGTGATACCCGCCGTCTATTTGCTGCTGAACATTTATGGGACCAAGCTGATCATGGACGCTAACCACAGAGGGCTAGGCTAAGTCCACAAATGCACACGTCACTTCGGGCGATGCTCTCGTTTGGTGTGTGTTTTCCTTACACGACAAACCTGAGCATGAAGCTACCTTTTCGTTAACCACAAGCTGCAAGGGTAACTGCAAAACGCCTTAAGAGCATCCCTCTTGGAAGAAATTGATCACATATGGGGGAGATAACTACAGCTATGTGCAGCGCTGGGAATTCTGCGTGTAATATTTGCGGGCTCCTGCCTATGGGACAACTAATCTAAGAGTAGTACCTGTCACTCTCTGGTGTGAGACACTGTATATCTTCAGGCTCAGATCACAAATCGACCTGCCCGTCGGTTACATTTCAACTCAAACGAAGCCTGAAGTTTGGTGGCACAAGCGCTCTCGAGAAATGGAAGGCTTATGCATTCGGGATTTCGTGAAAACTGTTCCGGCTAATCTGTAAAATTGTGGATGATGGGGGCATCAGTTGTTGAGCTGGTCAGAAATCGAAAAATGACATCCATCTATCGCCTGGATCACTGGTGGGTCGTTCCTCATAACAGCTTGGTTGACCTGTTTCTGGTTAGATCCTCCGTTAGATTCGCCCAAGTTTCACTTACGTCCTCTGTTACGATAAAAAGTAATGGTATGTTTCTCGACCTTGAACTGACATTGGTTGTTATCTGTGTCATTCAAACCTGATGGCGAATTTTGGTTTCTGCTTTGTCTGGGCCGGTTGGACCTATTAAAAAGACCGCAACGCGTTCCGGAATCTGGGGTCAATCATATGTGAAGCCGCGACTCCAATAAACCCATCGTAGCACTACTGCTGGCCTCCCTAACATTGCGATGCCAAGCTTTGGCACCTGAGACGCCGATCCGAGAGCACCGTCCAAGTTTTCGCCCAGCAAGTAGGTACAGTCTTCTAGTTTCCGTTCTACTTGAAAACCAAATTATTCGGCACATTCAATAGAGAAATAAGCGAAGTCTTCAGCTGAGTTCCCCGTCAACACCAACTTAATTTGCAAATGTATTTCACCAATTCCGTTCCAACTGCTGTTCACTTAAAACACATTCGACGGAAGCTCGGGGACCGAGCTTACCTGATGGGCCTCTTGAAGGGTGAAACTGGTCGTCGAGGAATTTTCAGCAGTCTTGGTAGGTATGTAACTGTCAACACTTCTATTCGTTGTTTTACTTCTTCCTCTTATAGGATATCATGCGTCGGAGTTTCATGGAAGCTCCGGCTCTTCGACGTGAAATCGAGCGTCGACAGTGGCTATCTCGTCTTCGAGCCCGCCTTACCAGTACAACTACGCTCATCCCTTGTGCCGGTTCCTCTCATGCTACCACAAGCTCGTGGATGAGCAAAGCCGCTCCGTTCGCTGTCACGTCAGTTGCAACCGGAGAACCCGTATTGCAAGTCAAATGCCCCTTGGGACAAATTCAGTGCGCTGAAAGCATGGCGACCTATTACCAGGTATGGGACGCTTTTTAATTATGTTATTATCTCACATAATCCTTTTCTCAACTTGTAACCCATGGAGTCATTTACGCATCATTTCCTTGCATCGAACAACAGGCACTAATGCTAGCAACGCAGGACAGAGAGACTCATTTTTCGTCCTTCCGGAAGATGGATCATTGATTGCAAAACCTTTTTCTTACAGTATGGCAATTATTTCTATCTCAAATTCAGCACTATAGTGACGGTAATGGTTGTATGCGTGCACGGGTTATCTCAGATTAGTAGATTTTGATAGGCTTTTTAAGCAGAGCATTTACCCAACACTGGCAGTTGATTTCAACCCTTATTTCTTCAAGGCTTGTTGCAAATTCCGCCAGCTCAATTCGACGGCCTCAGTCTTGCTTGCTAGGCAAACCGTGTCCGACTTGCAACGAGTTTTCTGCCCTGGGCGGCTAGTTTTTGTACAAGTCCCTGCAACTTCACAGAAGGGGAATCTACGTAACAGAGAAACATTGCCCAATTGGCTCGTTCCTGCTGTAGTCGTGGATATCAACAAGGCATTGGTTCAAGGCCAGACGGAAACGCAGGTAGGTTTTCGCTTTGGATCATGCTTGGGTTGATCACCACTGAAATTCATCTCCTAAATATTCTGCTATGATTCGCGCCGTTTTCGCTCGACTTCTCTTGTCACCTGCAGAAGGCGAAGTATCATAAGAGCATTTTTCTATCTGAAACTCTTACGAATAGTCCACTGACTCTTCACTTGAATCGAGTGCTTTTCGGTTACTTTTCGAATATCTCATGTTTTTTTTCATACATTCGAAGACTTTTCAGTGTAGGTTATACGGTGTTTCGCATATGTTTCCGTCAACTTTAGACTGTTTCTAGTAGAATGAAGATGTCGCGTTTCATTATTCCGTCATAGAAACACCACTGCTATGTTTTTTGTTATACAAGCTGATAATACTAGCAGTAATGACTCGGTGTGTTCTGTCTCTTTTTTTGAGTCAGATTCTGATGGCTAGTGAATCTGTGTGCATTGATTTTAATCACCCACGTACAGTACATCTACACAGAGTCCATCTGAACACTTATTGTCGGTAATTGTGCGGCATTCTCTTTCACTGTTCATATGGTTTCGAAATTTTGTGCAGTGTTGCGATGGCAGCTCCGGTAATCGTTCCCACCACCGCTCCGTCGATTGTCTCATGTCTTCATTTTCTGCTTTTTTACCTTCTGGATTTTTGAAAACTTTAGTGGAACTTGATAACCTGGCAACCGCCAGATCGAGTGGTTGACGCTTCGGCTCCACGTCCATATCAACTGGTATCTGATACTTTTTCAGCCAAAGGGGTTGGTAACGCCGCGTTTGATGTTGAGGAAGTGGAGGAACTTGAGGAGGAAGAGGTTTTATGTGACGGTGAGGATTGCTGGATGTCACCGACTCCCTTCCCACCTCAACTGATGCCTGTATTTATCCCATTTGTAAGTTGAGTGTTTCGCGATGCGGGGCACTGTCCGAATTGGTTTATGTAAACTAGCCTTATGTGTAAAGTTCGGAATTTTCAGTGTTCCAAAGTTGTGGTTGATAATTTTATGTCCACCCTATCTTTCTAAAAAGGCTTCCATGTTTTTGGAATGCGATTCTGTGTTTGCTGCCATGCGTTGCGGAGTAGTTCCGTGTTGTTTTGGTGGCCTGTTTCTTGTTTGGTAGCAACCAACTTGGGATTTTTGCTCAGAAGCAGAATCAATAGTGACCTCACAGCCTCAACACGCCGGATTCACCTGAATGTACCGGGCAACGTACTGTTTAGTTTTTATTATAAGTGGTTGACGCATTTCCCGACATCCTGTTTGCGTATACAAGTCGTGGTCTATTTTAAACTGTGACTGTATAGTAAGGAACAGAATTTATCGTTTCTCCCACCTCCACTTACGCATTTCACTGTTCTTACAGCACGCCTTCTGGACAGAGTGGCTGAGTGAATTGGAAGGAGGTTTTGCGGAGCATCGATTTTGTCTACCCTCTTTAGGCCTATGGATTCTTCCTTCAGTTGACATAGTTGGAATCTTCTCACCATAGTCCCAAAGTGAAGTCGTGTCGATGGTGGTAGCAATGGAAGACAGACTAGAAAGGTATAAGAGAAGTTTGTCTGTGGTAGGCCGCGGGTGGGATTATCATGGTCATCATTCCGTTATTTTGAGATGTGACAACTTTTACTCATCAATCTGGTTTGAATCTGGGTCTGAAATTTTGTTTTGCATGTGAACTGATTTGACCGTTTTAATATTGTTGTATCTGTGGTAGACATTCATGCAGGCTCTACCGCGAAATGGTGTGCGATAGCGAGGAATGACAATATGCCAGTTGTACTTACAACAACCTACTGAATTCTCTGCAAGTTTATGCTGCAGGCTTCTTGGCGAAGTGGGATCGCCAAACTAGATCACGCAGCTATGTCCATTTGGTGTGCTGCTGCTCTCAGTTGGTAGCTGGGCTTCCGTAGGGAGTAGGGCCGAGAGGCGAGAGGTGCAGGGGCTAGATAGCTCAGTGGTTAGAGGGCGAATTTACTGACCGGAACGTCCGTGGTTCGAATGTGGCCTCTGCATCTCGACTTCTGTATCAACAAGGCATTGGTTCAAGGCCAGACGGAAACGCAGGTAGGTTTTCGCTTTGGATCATGCTTGGGTTGATCACCACTGAAATTCATCTCCTAAATATTCTGCTATGATTCGCGCCGTTTTCGCTCGACTTCTCTTGTCACCTGCAGAAGGCGAAGTATCATAAGAGCATTTTTCTATCTGAAACTCTTACGAATAGTCCACTGACTCTTCACTTGAATCGAGTGCTTTTCGGTTACTTTTCGAATATCTCATGTTTTTTTTCATACATTCGAAGACTTTTCAGTGTAGGTTATACGGTGTTTCGCATATGTTTCCGTCAACTTTAGACTGTTTCTAGTAGAATGAAGATGTCGCGTTTCATTATTCCGTCATAGAAACACCACTGCTATGTTTTTTGTTATACAAGCTGATAATACTAGCAGTAATGACTCGGTGTGTTCTGTCTCTTTTTTTGAGTCAGATTCTGATGGCTAGTGAATCTGTGTGCATTGATTTTAATCACCCACGTACAGTACATCTACACAGAGTCCATCTGAACACTTATTGTCGGTAATTGTGCGGCATTCTCTTTCACTGTTCATATGGTTTCGAAATTTTGTGCAGTGTTGCGATGGCAGCTCCGGTAATCGTTCCCACCACCGCTCCGTCGATTGTCTCATGTCTTCATTTTCTGCTTTTTTACCTTCTGGATTTTTGAAAACTTTAGTGGAACTTGATAACCTGGCAACCGCCAGATCGAGTGGTTGACGCTTCGGCTCCACGTCCATATCAACTGGTATCTGATACTTTTTCAGCCAAAGGGGTTGGTAACGCCGCGTTTGATGTTGAGGAAGTGGAGGAACTTGAGGAGGAAGAGGTTTTATGTGACGGTGAGGATTGCTGGATGTCACCGACTCCCTTCCCACCTCAACTGATGCCTGTATTTATCCCATTTGTAAGTTGAGTGTTTCGCGATGCGGGGCACTGTCCGAATTGGTTTATGTAAACTAGCCTTATGTGTAAAGTTCGGAATTTTCAGTGTTCCAAAGTTGTGGTTGATAATTTTATGTCCACCCTATCTTTCTAAAAAGGCTTCCATGTTTTTGGAATGCGATTCTGTGTTTGCTGCCATGCGTTGCGGAGTAGTTCCGTGTTGTTTTGGTGGCCTGTTTCTTGTTTGGTAGCAACCAACTTGGGATTTTTGCTCAGAAGCAGAATCAATAGTGACCTCACAGCCTCAACACGCCGGATTCACCTGAATGTACCGGGCAACGTACTGTTTAGTTTTTATTATAAGTGGTTGACGCATTTCCCGACATCCTGTTTGCGTATACAAGTCGTGGTCTATTTTAAACTGTGACTGTATAGTAAGGAACAGAATTTATCGTTTCTCCCACCTCCACTTACGCATTTCACTGTTCTTACAGCACGCCTTCTGGACAGAGTGGCTGAGTGAATTGGAAGGAGGTTTTGCGGAGCATCGATTTTGTCTACCCTCTTTAGGCCTATGGATTCTTCCTTCAGTTGACATAGTTGGAATCTTCTCACCATAGTCCCAAAGTGAAGTCGTGTCGATGGTGGTAGCAATGGAAGACAGACTAGAAAGGTATAAGAGAAGTTTGTCTGTGGTAGGCCGCGGGTGGGATTATCATGGTCATCATTCGGTTATTTTGAGATGTGACAACTTTTACTCATCAATCTGGTTTGAATCTGGGTCTGAAATTTTGTTTTGCATGTGAACTGATTGACCGTTTTAAATATTGTTGTATCTGTGGTAGACATTCATGCAGGCTCTACCGCGAAATGGTGTGCGATAGCGAGGAATGACAATATGCCAGTTGTACTTACAACAACCTACTGAATTCTCTGCAAGTTTATGCTGCAGGCTTCTTGGCGAAGTGGGATCGCCAAACTAGATCACGCAGCTATGTCCATTTGGTGTGCTGCTGCTCTCAGTTGGTAGCTGGGCTTCCGTAGGGAGTAGGGCCGAGAGGCGAGAGGTGCAGGGGCTAGATAGCTCAGTGGTTAGAGGGCGAATTTACTGACCGGAACGTCCGTGGTTCGAATGTGGCCTCTGCATCTCGACTTCTGTCTATCTATCTATCTATCTAATAATAATAATAATAATCGTTCAGCTGTAGCACTTTTTCGGTGCCTAACTGCTATGCCACCCGAAGGTTGCACGAGGGCTGGGATACTACCAAGTTGCCCAAGCCTAGACAGGGGAAGTCGAGAGGCGGAGGTCGGGTTTGAACCACGGACCTTCCGGTTAGTAAATTCGCGTTCTAACCACTTGAGCCATTTCTCCCCCTCTATCTACCTTCTATCTAAGCTTGAGCAACCTGGCGGTATTCCAGCCGTCGTACTTCCTTTGAGTGACATGGAAGCTAGGCACCGAAAGGGCGTTACAAGTGAACGATTTATTTATTTATTTTAGTTATTCAGTTCGGCCTATCTCCGGACAAATAGACTTACATTCTCCAGTAATGGTTAGGCTTTGAAGTGGTAATGAGGATATGTGCATACTCGAGTCCGTCTTGTGCTTCATCAGCTTTTATGCTGTGTGCTGCTCGCCAAGCTTTTATATAGCTCTTGTTCTTAGTTGTGAATGAGAGGTTCATTTAACTCTGTAGTTAACACCAATGTTATTTGCAACTGAATGCACTTCACCACTTGTGTTCGGTTATTCACACCCATTGGATCATATTGGTACCTTTAAAAAGTGATTGCTTTGAAATGAGAAATCAGTCACTGGTTATAAAACGTGCCAAAATTCAATCGTTATCCAGCAATAAATCCGCCGATTTTGTCAAGTGCATCTGAACTAGGTTATTAGTCTCATCACTTACCTACTAACTTGATTGCTCACTTGCGACCGAAATTGACCGTTCTGTCGATGCGTTTCAGCCCTATCTCAGGGTTATAGACGCCCGCCAAGACTGTTCAGCTAGAGGAAACACTTTCTACTGTAAGCTTGTTGATACCAGAAAACTGTGGAACCGAGTTGGTCTTAACCAGATGATCACGAATTTGTGATTGTTCATACGCATTACTAAGACATACTGATGGAGGGTATCAGTTCCAGCGATTGGGAGGTGAGAATTTGTGGAACACAGCATCTGACAACATAAGCACGTTTGCCGATATCTAGGGGAAGAATTAAAGCATACAGCACGGCTAATCGATTGGCTTGCGCTTTGTGTGCAATCGGCGGTTAGTAGTTTCAAACGGAAAAGTAACGCCGAGGAGGGTTTTAGCTGTCACATAATCCCACTTGTGTACATATTTGGTTTTGACGGGATACTCAGCGGAATGGAACCGAATCTGTCGTTTATAACTGTTTTGTTGAGCTGAATGTACAGCACTAGGCTGCCATTATAAACGAGAGACTCAGCTGAATTCATTTCTCCTGTCAATGTGTACATATTTGGTTTTGACGGGATACTCAGCGGAATGGAACCGAATCTGTCGTTTATAACTGTTTTGTTGAGCTGAATGTACAGCACTAGGCTGCCATTATAAACGAGAGACTCAGCTGAATTCATTTGAGTCTCCTGTCAAAGTCGAACTCGTATGCACATGAGACCTTCCGGCAAGTTCCGTCCAAGTTTGCGTTCAGGTGGAACCTAAGGTTGACGGAAACTAGGGAACTGAGCCTACCTGACGAGCCCCGTGAGGAGATTCAGCTGGTTTGCAGCCGAATTAGCCCNCATAAAACATTTGCTGACATATCTACCTTCACTCTTTCCAACTAAATGATGTCCCACGACATTGAATGAGGTTAGGCGGCAATAATGCCTTTCCACAAAATTCACTGACTGGTCGATGGTGCCCCAAAGTTTTGTTCGGTTTCCGCAGGCGCCACTAGTAAGCCACAACCTTGTGTATTAGGAGTGAGACCACTGGGTTACCGATCGACCTCATCAACTGGTGCACGGCTTGGTTATTGGCTGGTTCAGTGACCGTGTCATTGTCTCTTGGTGTTCACCTGTGGGGAACGGTATCAAAGCATCAGTGTTGAACACTGGTTGCATGCTGTCAAAGACGATGCCAACCGGAAAGAGCTCGCTCTTCTCATTTCAACCCACAAATGAAAACCCTTCTTCCCGTTATTGCAGCATCATGCGATCTTTGGAAGCTCGTTGTTCAAGGCCGTAGACGAATTCACGCTGTTTCCGTCTACTTCCTGCATTCTGGATTGAAACTGTTGTAGAGCGCGCACGCGACAGCCTGTTATTCCCGTTGCTACAGGAAGAATGGTCCAATGATTTAGGGTCTGGAGAGCGATTGAATTGGTTGTCACTCCATTTTCCAAAAACGGCTATCGGGTTATCGTCTTATCTACTGGGAACAGGAATGCAATCCAGTCATACACACTGGAACAGTTGATCATATTAAACCCTATTCTGTATCATCTCACACAGTTCAGGATCCAAGTTCTGCTGGAAAATATATGGTCCCACCACAATTTTGGTGTATAGATTTCAGAAAATATTCAGCTTTAGACTGTGTCGAAGTCATTCAAACATTTTGATAACTACAGCAAATAGAATTTTGCAGGCATCATCATCATCATCAATGACAGCAACATCAGTGTTGGCACTGATGCTTCACTGCCGTACAACCATAAAGTTCGTTTAGTTATATATATATATATATATA